ATGACAGTCAATATTAATAAAATTGACCGCTACGTTATATCAACAATATCGTCGACGATCATTTTATATCGGTTCCGTCATCAATCAATAAAGACATAACTTATCGAGATCTCATTATTTTCAGGTACCTGAGCCTCTCCCATGAGGTCTTATAAAGTGTTATGTCGTGGTGCTCTTATAGAACACTTGCCTCCTTAGTCTGACCATCTTTATCATTTGCACCTCTCCTTCTTCAAGGAGTTTTATCTTTGGAACCGATTAGTCTATTACGCTTCATGCGTTCCATAGACTATGTTTATCATGGACTTTATTCTATTTGGAGCATTAGCAGCTGGAATATGACATTTAGCTTTGGGTCAGCAATGTGCTTGAAAATATTTTAGAAATGAATTATCACTTGAACTTCAAGTTCACATTTTCTTGTACGAGGATCTAGATGTATTCATAATAATTCATTTCACGTATCACTTTTTTAGCTGCCCATTTTCTCCCCCTAATGTCGGGATCACCAATACATTTTCCAACATTCTTTGGGAACCCATCTTTGTGCATTGTGGTAGCACAATTAAATCATATAGCACATCCATATTTCTAGATAGGAATATTTGGATCCTGACTGTGAACCAATTGTGATGGGGAGAATTTATCATAAATTGTTGGCTAGATGCGTACAAGTGCTGTTGTATATTAAATAATACACCTCATACCAAATTTCTATTTGGGAGTTTTGTTCTCATAACCAATGGTTTAGCTATAATTGGAGGCATATAATTTCTGCTAAACCAACTTGGATTTAAACCTGCATTATCAAGATAAATTATCATAATATATATTCTGGAACTGTGCTCTAATAATTTGAGCATACAACCTTGCAAAAACCAAAGTGCAAGTTGATAACAAACGCACATGTGACCATACAATAAATTCATCTATTAAAATTATATAATAGTAAATGGTCCACATGGCAGGTGACTGAGCCCATATATATATATCACTTTTTATTTGTTCCATAAATCAATGGATTCAATCCCAACCTTAGCTGGTAGATCGTGAGAATAAGTAGCACCAGAGAATTCTTGAAGAATCTTCTATTTCTTCAACATATACCAAGTGAATTCTCAATCAATTTTTCGCATCATATTAAACCGGGATGGCCAACCGGTCATGCCAACTGATATTTATTTCAGTAAACATTTAATTTACTATGGCATGTGATTTCATATCATACTTATACATCTATAGTACAGATAAAAGAAAAACTGGGTAACCTTCATATTTACCCGGTATGTTATAGTAATATGAAGATAATCGATCTTCCTTTCATTTATGCCAACCACTTTGGCTAATACATTTGAAACTCAAAAAGTATCTTTTGAGACTTACTACCACCAATGCCATGAATAATTTTATTTATTCGGTAGTAACAAATTCGCTCTTCTGGAGCTCTCAATAATTTTGCACTACAAGATCTTTTATAACACCATCCAAGTGTTGAATTTTTCCTCCACAGAGAAAATTATCTTATCATAATAATTGTCATGGTCAAAATCATCATAAGCAAAATCTTTTCTTGCTTTAATTTTGCCTTTAATAACTTTTTATAAGGCATGGCAAAATATTTTCGGCTTACCACAATGACATATTCATGTAACCACATAGTAATGTTCATCATCTTTCTTTCTCTCAAACCTCCCGTAGAGGTGAATTGTAGTATTTATTCAACCATGCATAAATACATTCTTGTGCATTAATTTGTATCACATATATATTTTCACACTCACTTCAGGAATGAGTCTGCATTTACAATGCTTATTACAAGTCGCATTCTTTCAAAAAATGGACTATAATCTTCTGAACATGCCTCATATTTATACACCAAATTGATACACATTTCCTTCACCTTTGAAGGATTATTTTGAGAACCCTTATTGTTCTCCTTTTTATAATTATCATAATGATGACTATTATTATTTTGGTCTTTGGCACGCCCACGTTCATTAGTCAACCACTTGTCTTCATTTAGATTTATTATGCATCGCTATCACATTCACTTCAAGAATGGAGCAAATCAAGTGGGACAAGCTCCATATTTTTTCATGAAAAATATATTATTTTTTCATTAGTCATCATTATATTATCAATGTGGTGCATTGGGACTCAAACCCACTGTCTTACCCATATAAAAGCATGTTAGTTTATATAAAAGAATTGGGACTCAAACTCAACTCTTATCATTTTGGTGCACCAGGCCTTAAACCCGATGTCTTATCCTCATAGTGAGCTGGGACTCGAACCCATCGTCTTACCCTCATTCAATGGCAAATAGGCCAACATACTGGGGCTCACCCTTAAGCCTTTAAAACTATTACCTCTCCGTGATTATATCCATAAGTAAACCAAGTTTCAATAATTCATATGCATGTAATAACCCGCGTCAATTATCGATTTCCAATTAAGTGATTCATATGAATCAAATAATACGAGATCTCATGCATTAGAGACCAATCAAATAAAATGCTCCAATAGATAATAGCACCAAAATGATTAAACAGAAACTTGCAACTTCTAAGATTCTCATTTTTTCTGGTTTAGGGGAAAATCAGAAATTGAAAATCATTCACACTTCAAGTGCAACCATAAAAATAAGAGCATAATATATATATATATGAGGGTGGAGCTAGTATTGACGTTGATATATGTTATTCACACTACTAATTCTATATNTATATATATATATATATAAGGGTTGAGCTAGTATTGAAGTTGATATATGTTTGTGACGACCCAACCCGTCGTTACGTGAGTAACCGCCCCGTTTTCCCTATTTTCTATTTCTTTATGCTTCATTATCAGTGTTGGGTGTGAACGAGTTGATTGGGACGCCGTAGCGGTATGATATTGATATTGATATGAGGCCGAGGGCCTAGTTGATGCCACGATATGGCTTATTATTGCGCTTGGGCCATAAGGGGCCCCTCCCGGAGTCTGTACACCCCCAGTGAGCGCCGTCGAAGATAAATAAATGGAGCGGGCTGCACGCCGCAGCGGGTACTGGAGAGTACCGGTTTATGTGTTGCATTGCATATGTGATTGACATCTACTTATTTATCTGTTGTGGTATTTCCTTAAGCGTTTTCATTGATTTATTGATTTCATGTTGCTGGGTTCGAGTTGCTGTATTTATAGAACTACTTTGTGCTTATTCAGGACTTCTTATTCTCAGTCTTTATTTATGTTTATTACTCACTGAGTTGGAAGTACTCACTTTACTCCCTGCACCTTGTGTGCAGATTCAGGTGCACCCACTGAGGCTGAGTGAGACTTTTCTCTGTTGAGCATCACATCCGGGAGCATCAAGGTAGCTGCATGACGTCCGCAGTCCTGATCTTCCCATCTATCCTATTTAATTTTATTCCCATTTCTTCAGAACATTATGTAGTAGGTTGACACTCGTATATTAGAGGCTCAGGCTTGTGACACCGGATTCTTCGGGCTGTGTAGTAGTATTTCTACTTGGGTTTTCCACATGTTTTAACTTTAGTTCAGATATTCAGTATTGTGATTTAGTAATTCATCCAGGTTAAGTAATTCGTGAGTTGTATAAATGGTTAAAGTTATGGAATTGGTCGGGCTTGCCTAGCAGTGTGTTGGGCGCCATCACGACCGGGGTTGGGGTCGTGACAAGTTGGTATCAGAGACTAGGTTACTTGGTCTCGCGAGTCATGAGCCGGTTTAGTAAAGTCTCGTGGATCGGTACGGAGACGTCTGTACTTATCCTCGAGAGGCTGCAGAACCTTTAGGAAAACTTCACATTCTTGAATTCTTATCGTGCGTCCTTGATTCAGCTTGAAAAGAAACTCTTGAAATTCCTTCCACG